GAAAGATACATGATCGCCTAAGCGTGTATCACGCATGGCACATAACTGACTGAGTGACTTTCTAGTAGAATCCATTACATTCACTTACGTACTATTACCCTTGGGAAAGGTATGAACCCTCTTCTTCTTCTCGCAGCTATGGGTAAATATCAGGACAGACCGGGTTCTATAGCCTTGGATAGCAACTAGCATGGCATATAACTGAGTGAAATTCATTTACGTTCTAATTCTCTTGAGAAAGGTATGAATCCTCTTCTTCTACCCCCAGCTATGGGTAAATAGCAGCACAGATCGGGGTCTATAGCCTTTGATTGCAACTTGTCTACCGCAGAAAGAAATGGCAACCTACTGCGGGAAAAATCTGCCGCGTCAGTCATGTATCGAAAGACACATGATCGTCTAAGCGTGTATCACGTATGGCACATTACTCACTATATCTGATATGTGTTAGACTTTTCTATACAGACAACGTCCATTATCCATTTACCGAACTGTCGGCGTTGCTGTTAGTTAAAATTTATGAAAATAGTATTCTTAAAACTGTTGGTTTTTTTTTCAGGAAATCAGACGTCTCAAGTTCATTCTGTGCACTGATTCATTGATTTGTTTTTACGGTTTATCGGCCCTTACTAACTTTTATAGATATGGCTCATAATGATATCAAACGCCTCTTTTTTCACCTTATAGGGTATTATTTAGTTTTTTTATTTATAATTACTGTTCCGTCAATACGAAGCTAAGGCGCCACTACGTCCTGGGTATGACGATAAACTCCAACCGGCAGCAAAGCCTTTGATCGGGAGGATTTGAGGAGAAGGGAACCACCTTGTAATTGCTGTTGTTCCCAGTTCAATCCTGACCCGGGGTGGTAGCACCTGTTAGGGTCCGAGCTATAGGCAAATAATAAACACCAAAACTGAGGTGAAAGTATAAAATAGATGTTTATAATAAAAATACCAGATAATAATCTTTTAAGTTAACTAAGTCTTACTAATTAATCCATAACTGGGGGGAAGAGGTGGATTCATAAATTTTCCAGTAGCATTTGGGTGTAAGTGAATATAAAGAACCCAACTGGAATTGAAACTCGGTTCTCTGATTAAAAATTCCGAACCATTATCGATTACACCACCCGCTCATTGAATGTTACTGCACTTGTTATTCTCAAGCGGTCATCCATCTAGACGCTGACCACACTCGATGTTGCTTAACCATTTATCCAGAACCTTTAGCAATAGATCGTATATATGTCTTCCACTTAAGTACCAACGGATGTTCAAGGCAAAATGATTATCGTACATCCTTGTACAAATTAATTGAAACAAAACGAATAATTCCGTTATTATTTACTTTTTCTTCGTATTTTTCCAATGAAACATGACCCAGTGGACATGTTAGTATTCCGTATGTCCATTGCACGAAGTCGCTCCTTGCAGATTGAGTCTTGATTGGATTTAAACCAGGAGATTTCCCGAGCCAGTCGATTTGCTCACTGGTAAGGCTTGCCACTGTGTTCGTTCACCGTGACAATCTTCGTACGTTTCCTTGGAGTAATACCAATCGCAGACAATGTTTGTTGTACAACTAATCGACAGTCGCGACAATAGTATCTGAAATATGAGACAGTGCTCATGTTAGTACTTCGTATGTCCATTTCACGAAATCACTCCTTGCAGATTGAGCACAGATTCTCGATTGGGTTTAAATCAGTAGAGTTTCTGAACTAGTTAATATTACTTTCATTTGCTCATTGGTAAGGCTTTCCAGTGTTTTCGTGCAGCGTTACAATTTCCATACGTTTTCTTGGAGTAACGTCAATCGCAGACAATGACTGTAGGACAACTAATCGACTGTCGAGGCAATAGTGTCTGGGCGTGATGAAAATCTGATGCAATCACAGATGATGCAATATTTTTCAAGGCCAAACAAATTTCATCATACACCCTGAAAATAGATTCATATTATTGCACACCACTGCAAATGACCTAATCTGAGGAAAAAATACAAATCGATTACACCCTGTCACTCCAGTGGGTCTAAAACTGACCGTATGATGAAAGAAAGAAAACGAAAGAGTTGTTTCAATTTATTTGCACAAGGGTGTAAGATGAATTGTTACTCCTCTCCGTGAACATTTTTTTAGATATATTTTTTAAATTTATGCTTATTAATGACAACACCGAATTCGACGTATTATACATGTTTATTTTCAGAAAGGTAAAACTATTTAAATCGTTCAGGCTTTTGTCATCTTTATTGACATACAACGTTTCGGCGGTTGTAGGTTTCGGACTTCTTCGCGTATTTTTGTGATCATAGAATGGGACTTCAGTAGTGCAAGTTAGCAGTAGTTTTCGTAATATACTGGGCCTAATTTTAAGTGTAGGTAGAGATGGATTATTGTATATGTTTCATATCAGTAGTTTTGCAAACAGGGACATTAGTGAATAAGCTTTCAACATCAAGTGAGGCTATAGTTTCATTATTAGGTTTTTCATTTTTTAGAATTTGAATTACTTCGAGAGTTGATTTTATGCTGTATTTTCTAGGAAGATAGGGTTTGATAAGTTGGTTGAGGTTTCTTGTTAATTGATACACATGAGTGACAATTTGCGATATAGGACGGGGAGGGTACTTTTGATTGTGTGTTTTTAAAGTGCTATATACGATGGTCATTCAATAAATAAAGTGAATTTTTCGGCATAAGGATTTCTAATACAGATAGAAGCTTACTTTTTTTTGTTTTACTTCTTTTTCAGATAGATTTAATATCTTTTGCAGATTGAAAAAAAACTTTGAGAGTTTGGGCGATTAACAAAGATGGCCGACCAAGAAGCATGCTCCAGGATTGAACAGCGGTCAGTTATCAAGTTTTTGGTTTTTGAAGGGTACAAACCAGTTGAAATTCATAGGAGAATGTCAACTGTGTATGGTGCCACATGTTTCAGCCAAAAACAATGTCTATAAGTGGGCTAAATTTTTAAAGAAGGACGGAGCAGTTTTGAGGATGAAAACAGACCTGGGAGGCCTACAGAAGTGAGGTGCAGAACATCAACGATCTGGGCTGGGAACTGCTCCCTCATCCCCCTTACAGCCCAGATCTTGCCCCCTTCAGACTTTCACCTGTTTGGTCCCTTGAAAGCGTTCACGAGAGGCACGAAGTTTAAAAGTGACGATGAAGTCAAAAGTGTTGTGAGCGACTGGCTGAGACATCAGTCCAAAGATTTTTACGCTGACGGAATACGGAAGCTTGTGCACAGATGGGAAAATTGTGTGACAGTGCTGGGAGACTACGTTGAAAAATAACAAATAAAGTAAGCTTCTATCTGTATTAAAAGTCCTTATACCGAAAAATTCACCTTATTTATTGAATGACCCTCGTATGTAACCGGACCTATAACCACTGATGATTTTAGAAAGATTTAAAATGTCCTGTTCGGCATTATTAGCAGTGATAAGTTTGTTAATTTTTAATTCTAGCGGGTTGGGTTTTTGTTAATATTTTTTGAATTTTGTGTGGTTGTTGAGTATTTGCACGTTTTTTTTTTTTTAATGTTGTAGTCCGATTTGTTTAAAACAACAAACATATTAGCTATATCTGCTTTTTTCACAGTTATGTCCGAGTGATTACGTAGTTCTTTGGCGGCAATTTGCATTTGTTTCCTGAAGATTTTTTTTTACCTCTGTTGTGTCAATTCCCAACTGCCTTGGCGTAAGTCGCGAAATTCTAGTGTGGTTGTGATTAATTGTCCGTCATGGAGTTTTTCAAGGCTTTGTTATAACGTCTAAATTTAGGTTGTTTTTAATCAGAAAAAATTATACTTACGGGAAAAAGAAATATGTATCACCATGGAGATTTTCTCTCGCCCTTCAGTAACGACAACAAAAAGCTTATCGGTCAATACGAAAGGATCCCATTGAAAATAAGTAGACAGAACATATCTAAATTATTCAATGAAACATATCTCAATAAAAACATGCCAATATTTATATTATATATATATATATATATATATATATATATATATTCCGTCTATTTATTTTCAATGGGATCCTTTCATATTCACGGATAAGCTTTTTATTGTCGGTATTGAAACGAAAAAAAATATATATATATATATATATATATATATATATATATATATATATATATATATATATATAGCCGTTACCATAGTAATTTTAATTTAAATATGAATATGTTTATAAAACGCGTAAATTTCAAGAATTAGTTATTCCAAAAAAAAATTTCGCTTGAAGATGGAACAGAGTTTTGTACTTTAATTCAATTTAATTCAAATAATTATATTGATGTTTTGGCTCTTGTTTTGAAACATGAGAACTCTTATGTAGCGGTGGAATCATATTTTTAAATAAATAATTATATTTAGGCTCCACTTTTGTATAGAGCACTGTTTTTTTTTTAAATAATAACAAAAAATAGTAAAGAACTTTGGATTAGTTACCTAACGAGTTCTTTTCCTATTTTCTATATTTTCACACACACACACACACACACACACACACACACACACACACACACACACACATATATATATATATATATATATATATATATATATATATATATATATATAAGCGTACACTACAAATGTTTATTCTAGAAGGTAACAAAGAGGACTGAGCAGGACGATGCAATGTTTATAGACTCGGAGATGTAACTGTATAAAAAATATGTACTTTTATAATAATATAGTAATGTATATAAAATATAATAATGTACACTGTATATATAACATAAAAAATAGAAGAATAAAATACAGGATAAAATATGCCTACACACATTTAGTAGAGTATAGTATAAAATACAGTATAAAAAAGTATTGCAATACTGTATACTGTTATGGTAATATATCATTATATATAAAATATATAATAATATAATATATAAAACATAAAAAAAATAAAATACAGCATATTTAGATAAGATTAAAAACGTATTTACGGTACATTTGTATTAAATATCTAGTATAAATGCAATGGCAGGAAGCCCATTCTTAATTTTGTAAGTCGAAACAATTTTCTGACAATTTTTTTGTTTGTTTGGCGAATTCGTCGTAAGTGGAGGTGTTCGTAAGTCGAGATTACACTATCTATCTATCTATCTATCTATCTATCTATCTATCTATCTATCTATCTATCTCTTTATATATATATATATATATACAGTGGAACCTCGGTTCATGAATTTAATTCGTTCCTGAAGGCAGTTCGTAAGCCGAAATGTTCGTAAACCGAAATGTTCGTAACCCGAAGTGTTCTTAAACCGAAACAATTTTTGCAGTAGGAATCAATGTAGAGAAAAAAACTCACAGTACAATAAAATTGGAAAAGAAAAACACGGCACAACACACTTCTGTATCCCTACACAAGAAACCCGAAAATAGATCAACAAAGAGCGAAGAAACTGTTAGCATAGAACTTACGGTTGCATTTAGCAATTTCAACTGTCCTCTCAATTTGCCTGTCACTCTCACTCTCCCCATCTCTCTCTCCTCTTTCTCCCTGTCACTTTCACTCGTTTCTATCCATCAGCCCGAACAACCTCTCGCTATATATATCTACACCATCTCTCTCCTCTCATCGCTCTCCCAGTTTCCTTCTCCCCCAATACCACACTTTTCCTCTTTCTTTCCCCCAATCTTTCTCACTTCGCTTTCTCTCCCTCGGTATTTTCTTCACTTTCTCTCTGCTTCACTGTCTTGCCATCTCTCTCTGTCTTTCTCTGTACCTCTCTCATGCTTACTATTCCCATCTCTCTCCCATTTATCTTTGTATCTTTCACTATCTCCGATCTCCCCTCATCTGTTTTTCATTTCCCAATGTCTCTCTTTTCCTGTCTTTCTCTCTCCCCAATCTTGCTCACATCCCTCACCCTCCTTCCCTTTTCTCTCTCCTCCTGACTCTGTTTCTCTCTCTCTCTCTCTCTCCCATTGTCTTATCTTCTCTTTGTTCGTCACACTCAATCTCCCCATATTATTTCTTTCTCTTTTACTCCCATCACTCTAACCTACCCTCTCTTCCTCCCAGTTCCTCTCTCCACAAAATCTCTCTTTACCGCTCTCTCTTTCCAATCTTAGTCATTCTTCTTTTCCCATCTCACTTTGTCATCCTTTCTCTCTCACTATCACTCTCTCTCCGTTTGCTTACAGTTCTATAACGCTAGACAATTTATTTAAAAAAATCCCGTTTTTCCATTGTGTCCCACTTTCTGAATACGATTAAAAAGAACTGTGACGTGACAGAAAAAGAAAAAGAAAACAAAAAAAAAATGAAAACAAAAAAAAAACAAACAAATAAACACATTGGATTTTAGAAGCTAAACGGTAGTAACTATTTAACAAGTCAAAAAAATATTTGCTTAATAAGAGAATTGTTTTTTTTTTTTTCACAGTATTAAACACTGGAAGCTATTTATATTTCACTCATGACAAAAGACAGTTAAATATGATTTACTGCAACTCGTCTTGGATTTGATGTCTTTTGTCGACAAGTGACAATGAAATAAATAACGCTGTGTGGAATATCGCACAAAGACAACGTCATTGACGTAATAAAAAAGAGTTAGTCATTGGAGAAATATGATAGCTCCATGCAAGTAATATCCATTACCCAAGTGTGTAAGTATGTAGATATATAGGTATGTATTTATTCTGCGAGTATATATATATATATATATATATATATATATATATATATATATATATATAGAGAGAGAGAGAGAGAGAGAGATAGATAGATAGATAGATAGATAGATAGATAGATACTGAAAGGTGGGCAACTATGTACAAACATAGGTAAAAGATGAATATAGATAAGAATAAGCAGACAAAAACTGATAGATAGATAGATAGATAGATAGATAGATTGTTATGATCAAGCTTAGATAGAGAGATAGAGAGATAGATATGATCAAGCTTAGATAGATAGATATGATCAAGCTTTAGATAGATAGATAGATAGATAGATAGATAGATAGATAGATATGATCAAGCTTAGATAGATAGATAGATAGATAGATAGAATGAATATGATCAAGCTTAGACAGATAAATAGATAGATAGTTATGATCAAGCTTAGATAGATAGATAGATAGATAGATAGATAGATAGATAGATAGATAGATAGTATTGTGGATTCCGGGTTGAAATCCGGTACCAATAAATAACAAACGCCAGGAATTAATATATGAAAATAATGTATCAACGTAATAATACAAACTGCTAAAGCAGGTTAGTAGGGAACACGGGTTAGTAGCAAAATATATATACAGTCTTTGGTATTGAAGTATCGCTGTATGACTTCTTACTGAGTCTACGTGCTCGCTCACTGTGACTTCCTACAACGCTGTTACCTCACCCCTCACTCTTCGGGTTACCTACAACCTTTTACTCTGTCACTCTGGACTCGACTCGACTCGACTCGACACCTCCGGTCTTGCTCTGTCTTACTCTCGTCTCGCTCTTGCAGTAGTATATGTATATACTGGGTGAGTTCATTTGTCTAAAAAGGGGTGGACCCGTCAACTCCCCTTCCTTAGATCCCTTTTGGGTGTGGGGAGTTAGTATTTTTTTCTCTTATGGTCGATAATCAGAGGTTCGGTAAATTTTCTCTTCCTGTTTGACCTAGTTTCTGTGTCTTCTTGTGGTCTTTGAATCTCAAAAGCCTCAAAGATTGCATCCATTGAATCGTCATTTTCAGCGAGTGACGAGCTTGGCCGTGTATTTGGTCAATATGTCTTCTGTGGGTAAACTTTTCGCCTTGTACTGTGTACATCACATTTCCTAGTCTGTTAATTATTGTGTCAGGCTCCTAGTAAGCCATAATGTTCCTGAACATCCTAAAGTAAACCCGTTCTCCTGGTTTAAATGATTTCTTGGGTACTATAGGTGTATGCAGGTGTTTCTTCTTGTTAGGCAATAAATTATCAAATGGCACCTTTCGCTTCTTTTTACATACTGGTTGGAAATTTTATTTTAATTCAATTCTAGCTGCACCCTTACAAAAGGAACTGATAGGTAAATCCCTTACGTCGAACTTCTGCATCCAGTCTGTGCACACCCGATTTTCTGTATTTTTCATTATGAATATTTTGAGTTTTCTTGTTTTCCCGTGAAATTTTACATTTAGGATTACTTCTCCTTCGAATTTTATACGCTTTCCTGTAACAGACTTAGAAATTCTTTGTGTATGTAACATGGTTGGTCGATTAAGCTTTCTCCATGTCTGTAGGTTAATTATCGTTATATCGGAATCTGAGTCAAGTTGTAATTTTATCTTTTTATTTAAGATTTCAAGTTCCACATATTTCCTTATGTTAGTATTGCCTTCGTCATGCATTCTAGTAGCTCTTATTCTACTAGTAGATTTTCTGTTCCTACATTAGGATGCCTTGTGACCCATTTTTCCACACGGAAGACAGTTTTTATATTTAAAACGACAGTCCTTGTTCCAGTGTAGTTCTCCACATCGATAACATGCAGATGCGGTGGGGGGGGTGCTTACATTTACTTTGATTTTCGTCATTATTTGCCCTGTACGTTGTACTTTTTTCATTATTATAGAATTTTTGTTTTCTTTCCGGGGAGGGTGAAAAACGTAAACATTTGTTTAACTTACGTATATGTAATAATCCTGATCCTCAATATCCTTCGAGTCTTTCTTTATGCTCAGGCATTTTTGGCAGTCTTCCGATAGTTTTTGTAGTGTTAATCCAGGTTCATTTTGCCGTTTTGAAAGCATTCTTTTGCGCATTTTGCTATCCTTTGCTGAGACTAACCCTTGTACAAAAATAAGACACTTGAAATTGTCTGGAGTTAATTCTGCCAACTTGAAATCGTCGCAATGTTTATTCACGATTGAGGCGAACGTGGAATAGTCCTCATTTTCATCCTTTACAAGGTTAAGACATTTCCACCTTTTGTGAAAAAGTGACGTTTTCGGGCTGAAAAGCTCCGTCAGGCATGTAACTGCTTCATCAAACGGTAAATCATTTGTCTTCTTTGGCAAAATGTAATCCACGAATTTTGTGCATTCTTCCGTTCCTAATTTTCTGTGTAACTGTCGTAGCTTTTTTGCTTCCGTCCAGTTTTGAAAATCGATGTTGAAGATGTCTTCATGACGTCTGAAAAAGTCCCCGAAATTTTTATCCTCTTCTAGGGAATATTTGAATGTTTCTATCATGTTCCATACGGCGTCTTGAAAAAAAGTCGCTTCTTTTTCAATATTTTGTTGTTGTGCATTACTCGCTACTTTTACAATTAGCTCCTGGAGTTGTAATTGTCTTTCTTCATTTTGCATTTGTCTTTCATGATTTTCCATCTGCATTAGTAGTAATATTTTACCATTCTTTCTTGGAATTGTAATTGCTGTTCATTATGATGTTTAACAAATTCTACTAAAATACTTTTAAAATCCTCCATGGTAAGAGTCTTACGAAAATACTTGATTTTCCGTATTTTAATCCTCGTAACACTTTGTTACCCAGTTGTTGTGGATACTGGCAAAAACGGCAATTTTCTCTTTTGAGTCTCTGAGAAGTGCAAATTCTTGTCGCCCAAGCTGTTGTGGTGAGAAGAGAGAATTTTTCTCTTTCCGTGTAGGTCCCAATTTCTTGACACCAAGTCGTTGTGGTCGGCAAGGGAGAATTTTTCTTTGTACTCTTCCTGTGTGAGTTCGAATTTCCTCGTCGCCAAAGTCGTTGTGGTCGACAAGAGAGAATTTTTTTTCTTCCGTGTGAGTTCGAAGTCCTCGTCGCCAAGTTGACGAGGGAGAATTTTGCCTTTTTTGTTCTTCCCTTGTGAGTTCGATATCCTCGTCGCCAAGTTGTTGTGGATTCGGGTTGAAATCCGGTACCAATAAATAACAAAAGCCAAGAATGAATATATGAAAATAATGTATTAACGTTATTATACAAACTGCTAAAGCAGGTTAGTAGTTCCAAGAATGCGGGTTAGTAGCAATATATATATATAGTCTTTGATATTGAAGTATCGCTGTATGACTTCTTACTGAGTCTATGTGCTCGCTCACTGTGACTCCTACAACGTTGTTACCTCATTTTCACTCTTCCGGTTACCTACAACCTTTTACTCCGGACTCGATTCGACTCCTCCGGTCTTGCTCCGTCTTACTCTCGTCTCGCTCTTGCAGTAGTATATGTATATACTGGGTGAGTTCATTTGTCTAAAAAGGGGTGGACCCCTCAACAGATAGATAGATAGATAGATAGATAGATAGATAGATAGATGCGATCACAATTATTTACATTGCGGGGTAAGTATATTTGTATCAGCTAAATGAGATTGATATGTATCAATGGATTGAAATAGTTTCAAACGCGCTGTATATATATATATATATATATATATATATATATATATATATATATATATATATATATATGGAGAGAATTATACAGGCGCACATATGTGTTTGTGTGTAATATTTTCAGATATGATTAAAATATATGTAAAATAACAATATGAATAAAGACAAAAGGAAAACATATTTTAGTCGACTCCTTTCGGCTTCTGGTGATATTTATGAAGTCAAATATATTTATTTCATATTTGCAACATTATTTATAAACGAAAGTAATCATTTTGTTACTATTTCAATATTTTTAAATTTAAGAAACACCCGTAAATATTCCTCAAGCTACCTGAAAAATCTAGGTAAATTATGGAAACTTATAAATGACGTAATTTAATGTCTGATAAACTAAAGTGTACAAATAATGTTGTTGAATTGTTTTTTTTTTAATATCTAATAGCCATACCCCACCGGTCGATCAGAAAAAGCGTTCTATTAGAATGGGCAAACACAGCATCATGCTTAGATTACTTCAATTACTTTAAAGAACTTTCATTAAAACTCATTTTAAATTAATGCAATTACAGAGGTAGTTATAGTTAGCCGAGGACATGAAGGGGTAAAACAGGCAACATGATACCCAATGCAGACTACAATTATTTTGGCGATTTTGAAATACAATTTAACAGTCTCCTACCAGGGATGTAAAAGACGATACATTTATAAAGCAATTGTTATGTTTGATGAAAATTGTTTGAAAGATCAACAAAAAATAAGAAAGAAACCAGTAAATATCGCCATTTTTTGCTATTTACGCAGGTTTTCACTATATAGATGGACTCAATT